GATCTACTAGATATTAATTAAATTATAAATATATCAATTCTTGTGAATATGACTGAAAAATTTAATTTTTTTCTGAAAAGGTGGTGTCTATTTACTTATGACCATGCTGTGTACTTTTCTCTAAATGATTTTATTTTAATCCTTTTTAGTTGTACAATATTTATATTGAAGTCCTTTTATCCATTTAAGTTTCATTTCCAACTAAATTTAGCTATCATGAAATGCAACAATAACTTTAATAAAACAAATTTCAAATGCACTGAAAAAATTCAGATACCTTTCGATTCTTAATTAATTTCTTCTTCATACCTTACTAGACAGGCCTGTGTTAAATCATCAAATTTAGTATGTTACAGAATATTACGTTTAAAAACCATTATATATCTACTTGTTTATTCATTTCTTTTGGAAAATTCTTCAAGCCTAATACAATAACTAGATTACTAGAATGACTGTAGAAACTAATTGGGCATGCAATAGCGTGATGAGACCAGATATAATACATTGCACAATGAGAAAATACCTAAAACTTCTAATTTTAAAGTACAAGTAACTAAATACAATTTATTTCAAGATTCGTATTGCTATTTATTGTTACTTTGTGTTGGAGAATTGATGGCTATACTTATGCAGACCACATCTGTACACGACACAAGTCAAAATTTACTATTATTAAAAATCTATCTTTACAAGTAGATAGCATTAAAGTGAAAGGTACATCTCTAATAAATAATGTTTTAGTCTGAATTAATTCATAAGATAAGAAAACTTAAATCTCGTTTGTTTTCAAGCCAACAGTGAAAGGACAACAGCTAAGATTTAAAGGCTTTATTCCTCCCTTAACACAAAATTTTTAACAGAATGCACTTATGAATTTTTGTAAAGAAGCAGATGGAACACAATAAACATAAGGGAAACTGAGCCATGGATAACTGATATTAAAGTTCTAAAGTTCATGTAGATTCTTTTCATACTTAGAATGTATTATTTTAGAGAATCTTATCTCATGAGAAAAGACTCACTATATCAATTAAAATGTTGTTACATTCTTTGATATAACAAGTAGTTTTCTCTGGATGATAATTGAAATAGGTGAGTCCATTGGGCCTACCCAGCATTTTTAAGTTAATAATTAATTCAATGAAGTTCACTGATTTTCCATAAAAAATTATGAATCTACGTATCTTGGGGCTGAATAATTAAATGTCTGATTTCATGAGTGCACATAATAGGGCTGTCAAATGTGATAAATTTCTTCATAATGGGTCTATTTTAGACCTGTTATTTTCAAAATAGCAATATACTCTAATAACTAAAACATACTATATTTTAAGTGGCAAAACTAAAAAAATTATTCAGCTACACTCATTGTGAAACTTGAAGTTTGAATGACAATTGCCTTTGCTGGAACAATGTTATGACCAGCAGTTCAAGGGTGGGTTCAGTCCCACTGCTAAGGAGAGTGTGCCCCCCCCCCCCAAGCTATGTGAAAGAAGGGGAGCTAAAACAACTGAAATTTTGTGGAGGAACTACAATGGTTATATGAAAAAACTGGTTTTCACTGAGCAAGGTTAACATTGTGGCAAACAGTCTACAATTAGGAGGATTTGGAAGTGATTGGTGTGGCATATCTTTACCTTGTCATGCAGTCTCCAAGGTTGTACAACTCTGATTTTCTCATCAAAACTGATGGTGAATTTTCTTCTCTAATAAAGAGTTTTACTGGATAGTTATTTTTTTCAAATTCTCTAAAAGGAATAGCCTAGTAGGTTATGCACTGCTCCAGATTTCTACTTTAAACAATGTTTATGACTTTTAAAAACATGAATGCCCATATTTTAACATATTACTTTTTGATAACCACATTTTACCAAATGGACAATTTAATGGGTGTGTGTGTGTGTCCTTAACCCTCTTAATCACCCTACCAAGACAGCATTGCCTAAAATTAATTACTGCATGCTCTGTTGTTGCTAATGTCTTCCTTTCATTATTCTGCTTTTTTTTTGTTAGTACATGTAAGGTGTCTCGAAACTCAGAAATCAAAAGAAATTTTCATTATTAAGTCAATAAGAAAGCCTAAAACCCAAGTATAAGCTGTTTTTGGCACTTAGCATTAAATATCTCAGTGAGTGTTTCATTCATTCAAGAATAAAACAAAATGATCATGAGTATAACTCATCGATCATAAGTTTTTGACAAAGTCAGTACAAGTACATGCTAATGCTACTGCAGCAGTGAAAATATAAAGTTCTTTATACATTCACCTGTTTTTCTCGTTCTGCAGGTTGCTTTTGATCAAAATCAATGGCCATTTTTGCATTAGGGTCAGGCTTTTCTCTGATCTTTTCCATTATGAATTCATGAACTTGTATAATTCCATCCACACTACCAGTAACAAGACAGACTCTTTCTGTTGTCCCTGGGAGGATAAGTAAAATAAAAATTTAAAACTACATGGTCTGAAAAAATTAAAATACAAACAAACTAAAACTGGTTGCAGTTAGTAGTGGAAACACAGATAAGTGCACCCAGGGAATTTTTAATAAAAATTGACAAAAGGAAAAATTTATTCTCACAAAAGTAACACAGAAAACACAAGACTGGTGTTTCAAAGGATGAACAAAACTGTTAAACCTGTGCTGGAAACACTTAAGTTAATCATTCTAGCTGGGAAAGTATACAAAAAGTCTTTATTTTAACCATTTAAAATGCTCAACATTAAAACACTGGGAGATTTCCAGGATTTTTGATGCAATATATAGAGATTTTCTTTTCTTTATAAGAAAAAAAGAAAGTTGGGGAAGCAGTACTGAATCCTGTTATTATTTCTTGAATAACCAGTAGGTTGCATATAGGCTAGTGTGTACTATTTAGAAGAATCCTATGACAAAAAGAAGTTATATAACTACAAGGATCAACAATATTCTGTAGAGACTTTGTAAAAGTCTGTTCTCATATATACAGTAGTATTGCTGGACAAGAACAGTAGCCAAGCTAACTCTGTTGTTTTTTAATTCAAGCCATATGGTATAAGTCTCTTACTGAATGTCTTCTCTGCTCACTAAATCTACATGTACCTTTAGTTTTTCATGTTTCAAATTTCAAGCTTTTGGGTTTAATCTAGTACAGAGTTTTTCTCTTGGTTGTTTTTAAACAAAAAAATGTGAATCTATGTTTAAGACAGTGACCAATTATGTAGGATACTGTTCTATGAAAAACACTTATTTGATAATGAAGATTCTTGAAAACAGAGAAGATTAATTCTGAGAACAATGATGACAAGGTGGTTAAGATGAATTTAGATGCGGGGTTTAAAACTCAATTTAGTGGTGTTATTTTTAGTAAATGATGATTTGTGCATCAAAGGTAAGGGAAAAGTCAAAGGCCTCATAAGATGAGAATATTGCCTAATATTTGAATTTGTTTATGTATATATTGTGATCAGTTATTCCACAAATGTCAAAAACCACAAAAATGATAGAAAATTGCTTTTAATCTTGTCCATAACTGCACGCATAAAAATTTTGGATTTTGCATACCATGCACACTAAGTGTTCACATTTCACCTTCAATTGTTGTTTGGTTCATCAAATATGTCGCTTATGATTGTCACAGCAACCTGAACACCTTCAGGAATGGAAACTGGTTTTGAGAGCCTGAACTCCTTATGAAATCTGAGTTCCAGAACTATGTTTTTGATGCAATATTTGCATAGTATCCTATTGACTCTTACACCGACATGACATAATCAGTAGCAGGCCTAGTACAGATCAGTAATGTTAAATCAGAGAGAGAGAGAACTTCTGGTCCACATGTCATACAGTACATCCTCAGAAATGACTGCATGTTTGATACTACGTGCTTCAGCTGGAATACACCTGGTGACAGTGGCCACAGATATTCTTCAAATATAGAAAGTCCAATTTTAAATTTTTTTTCCCATGTTGACCTCTTACACACCAAACTTTTGGACTCTCCAATCTGTTGGGGTGTGTTGGATTTTTCACCTGCTTGAGCATACAGTGTACAAGCTTCTATGCTTTGTATGAGAAAAGGCAGGTAGCAGATGCATAAAGCCTTGAAAATTCTCAGGTAATCCCCTATAAAATGAATCTACAGGTTGACAAGTGCTACGTCCAATAGCTTCTGCTGTTTTATACAACAATTTATTACTTCAACTATCCAATACACATTTATTACAAGTTTTAAAGGTTTGTATTTCTCTGCAAGATGTTGGTTATATTCCTCTTGCTAAAAGAATCACATCTGGGTTTCAAATCGAGTTCATGAAGGAGATTCATAAATCCTCCATCTACAGCAGCTACATCAAATGGTTGTATTCAGATTCAAATGTTTACAATGTTATTCTGGAATATGTGATTAGTAACTGCTGGATCACCAGTTTACCCATCAGCACAGTATGGACCAAGGGTCTACACAATATACCTATAAGTGAATAGTTTCACAAATGGATGCTTTTTGTGCACACAACTTCACCTCTGAAATACATACAGCCCTTACAGAGATAAAATCCTGAAGAAGTGATCAAACTGAGACTTGCTCAGTCCAGACAGGTCATGGGTTTCACTATGAGTTTACTTGTAAAATCTATCAAAGTTTATTCCACCTGATCATTTTGCTGCTGTGTGTTTTCAGAGTACTCAATCACATCTATTCTGTTATAACTGTCATCTTTCATCTGTCACCTTTTGCAGCTCAAGATCTAGCACAGATGCCAATGGCATGCTTAACAAACACTTGGGTCCATGTTTCAAGTGGTACAACAGCTGAACATGTTTTGGGCACATAACATATTTGATGTAACTGTTGCTCACTGATTTGAAGTTCAGTCAACACTCAAGGCTCATATAATTTGTTTGATTGAGGATACACTAGAATTGAGATGTGGGAGAGGAGGAGGTGGAGTGCATTATGTATAATTATGTTAGCTTTACTATCATCTGAAGGGTGACCATCAGGTGCACATCATTTGAAATAATAGTACTGTTGATGGCATTTGGTATAAATGACAACATCTTTTATGGGAGTTTTCTTTTCTATCTTATCTTATTAGTTCACCATTACATGGTCCTGATATTTATCTTCACACTTCATTGGGCATACCTCTGTATTCCTTCAGCATGACTAAATTATGTCTGGTTAACATTATTTCAGCATAAACTTTATAAACCACTGAGTAAGCAGTGTGGCAAAACATTACTGCTTCCATAATTACGAAAGTGTCTCAATTTCAGGGGATAATATAACTTCTAATGTGTAAACATGTGACTGGCTCTACTGAGCAAGCTGCAGTTTCATTGGCTAATAAATAATTTGTACTTTCATTCAGTGGTTGCTCTTTTTGCATGTTGTACATTTGCACCACAAAATAAAAAGATTGAATACTTCAAAATATTACAAAAAATGGATCTTGACATTTTACATTAAATGATAGTTTTAAAACAAAACAGAGCACTGTCTTTAATAAAATATCACCTTTTAATACGATAAAAAATGTACTGATAACTGAAGTTGTTTAAATATGGCACTCATATTAAAATATGTAGGAAACATTACCTTAAACAAAAAGGCCTACATAAGATTTGATGCACATGGAAAAATAAGGATGTAGCAAAAGACAAGTTTGTTTCTGCAAATATACTCTATGGAAATTCTATTACAGGTGAAAAACTTCCATTGTAAATATTTATTGTTTTGGATGCAAAACATGAATACTAGTCTTTAAAAATTATCATTATAAATTATTTTTTGGAAAAGGGGTATAGTAATTAGACAACCTTTAACTTTTGTAGCCATTTTAAGTCCTATTATATATTATTTGTTTTATGAGATACAATTGCAGTTATCAAGCAAAATTTTTGTTGTACACACAAAGCCAGACAAACCTGGATAGTAGTCATTAGTCTTAGACATTTTAATCCTGGCACCAGTTTCTTTTTGTAACTGAGCAACTGTCTCGCCACCTTTACCAATGATTGCCCCAGCAGCCACAGAGGGTACAAGTATTTTGAAATGATACATGCCATTGACTGAAATGATGGAAATTATTATTGTTAATACTTTTAATTTTTTTATTACAATGTATTATAATATTTATTATTTCTGATGCTTTATCTTTATAACAGTGAAACTACAATATTTATTATTTCATCAGTTGAAAAATTAAAGATAATGTCAACAGATAAAGAAACGTAAAACCTGAAAAACACAAAAATATTCTTATCACTTTCAATGGAAAACCACTTCTTCTCTAACCTATGTATTGGACCATTAGTAAAAGTCGATTCTTTTCAAGGTCATTCAAACAGTTCGTATTATGCAAGTAGTTACTTTCAACAGTTTTTCATTTCATTTCCTTAATAACATAGCCAGTTTAAAAACATTTAGGTCTTCTGCATATCATGATTGTAAAATTTTAGTCTATTTCTCATTTATCTACTAATGTATTCAATCAAGTCAAAGGTGCATGTTTTTAGTACCTGAACATTTTCAACAGAGTAATACATTCTGTTACCATAAAACTCTAGAACAAAATTGTCATGATAATTTTTCCATATACCTTCAATGGTCTTTTCTAAAGATGATTGTAAAATATTAACTTTTAAGTTTGAACAAAGATACTGGAGATAATTACCTCAAAGTATATTAAACTTAAATAATGACCTATGAGAGTCCATATATTTAAAGCACAATGTGAAAGTTATACAATATATTAGCTTCTTGTAAGATTTTCAAACACATAAAGTAAAATGTGGCAGGTGCAGACAAGTATGAGACTCTCAGATCCAGAGTATTCTAATTAAAACTAACAACTGAAGAAACAATCACATAATTTTTCAATATTTTAGAGATACAGGATTAGTAGTAAGTTATAATACTGAGAGCTATAATAGTTCTGCATCATGACTGACGACCAGAGATAAAAAATTAATAAACATAATAAGCCACATGTGGCTAGAAATAACCAGTATTAATTCAAAACACAATCTTCCATTAAATGAGATCAGTGTCACACCATTAACTGAAGTAAATTTCTGTATTATCTAATTTCAACTAAGTAAAAACAAAACTATCTACTTTTACAGGCATAAAAACCTGTACTTTTAAAAGACATGCATACATATGTGATGTACCAGGACTAATTTTCTGTTTATAACCTTAAAAACATTTTTACAGAAAGTTTATAAAAATTAAAAAAATGTTTGTAACTTTCATTATAAACAACATTAGCTCACAAGCTATACCTCAGAATGTGATTAATTAAATATATTGTAGTAAACACATAAACTAGAATACACATTTTTTGTCTACGCACAGTTGTTTAGTATTGTTGGAAGCAATATTTTTAATGTTGTAATATATTAGTTAACTAAAGGGAACTGTGGGTTGTAATGATGATGTTAGAATTGAAAAGTTTAACAAGATAGGCCTAGAATATCTGGAGAGTTCTAAAAATTTGACAAGTTTTTTACAAAATTCAAGGGTAAATTATAAATATGATGTTCAAGAGAGTTGTTTCTAGCCCATAGAGTGAATAAGGCAGTATATTTTAATTTTTAGTGAAGCATTTGAAAATGTGTTAGATTTTGTGCATATTGAGCTACTTTGTACAAGCAAGTTCATTTTTACATTAGTGTAATACAATTAATGCCACTTGTAAACATGGCCTAAAAGTTACCATAGTGTTCAAGCTTGTAAAAGCATTAAGGAAGAAATAAACTAAATTTTTATAACTTACAAGGACACATAAAAGACCACACCAATGAAAGAAAAATGCTACAACAGTATGTTTCAACCAATCAGTAAACCTGACATTTAACTGATGCTTAAATATGTCAATTTTATTTGTTTAACAGTTACAACTAAGTGCACTCATATCTCATACCAATGCTATTCATTTTACAATGTAATAAGTCTGCCAGCATACCAAGTATTGATTATACAAAAAACTTGTTCTCTGGTGAAGATAATTAATAAAACACTACAGCTATGTCAAAAATAGGCATAAAATTAGTAATTTATATTTCTTAAACAGAAGTTTTAATTATAACTTAATGAAAACTGAGTTGTACTCAAGCATAAAGTTTGTTAGTGAAAACAATAGTTATCAAAAGAAAATTTGTACATAATTAATATTAAAGTATGTGAATTATTTTTGGACAGTTTTAACAAATGATGTGTTATTTTGTTTTCTAAATTTTTACAGATTATGTTATGTAATTTTGGGGCAGAAGATTGATGGTTGTCATCCTTTAGAAAGATTTTCTTGATCCATATTTTTAAAATATTAATTTTCTCAAAATTAGGCTTCTGGAAAAATAATAGAATTAAGTAATGAAATTCATCCTTTAAACTATGTCAAATACTTTGGATCAGTAAAGGCTTAAAATAGATGGTTTAATAGATTAGATCTATTTTAGCAAATTGCACGTTCTCTAACTTGAATAGGCCTAGTTTAGGAAAAAAACAACAAACAAACTTTAATGGATTGCCTTATTTTCATACCAGGGAAAAAAAGAAGAGAAATTTCAATACAATGTTGTATTAGTTATAGGAACTGTTGTTAAGGTGACACATTTGCCTGTCCAGAGTGTAATCACAATTTCTTTAGAATACATCATTCATTTATGAAAACATTTCAGTAAAAATGGGCAATTGTGATTTGTGACTTCATGAGAGTTTCAATATTATACTTGAAGAGTGGTTGTTACTAGATACAAATTGACAAAAAAAAAAATGTCAAGGAAAACAGTACTCACATCTTCATGTAGTGTACTTTGGCAATTTGTTTTTCTACCATTTCAAGAGTGCAACATATCACACAGTTTACAAGATTAAGGTTGTGTTTCCTACTTGAATTACCATAGTTCATTGTCTAAATATTCTTTCAAGATATTATGTTTGTTGAGAGACTTTCAATGATGTCAGCAAAAAGGTTTGTTATAGTAATACGGAGGGGGAAAAAAAAGGTAAAGGAAGTGCTCACATATTCAGCTATGGCAGAAATACAAAGCTGGCCAACATAATAAAACATACCTGAAGACAGAATATTACTTCACACCAACTTTGTTTTGTGAATTAATTTATAAACACAACCTTAGCTTGACAACACAAAAGTTTAGTGATGAAAAACATGAACAAATGTTAACTGCTCTTGAAAATGGCAACATAATGTTTAGGGACAACAGGGGACTCCCGTTGGTCCATCTCAGCTGGCCCATCTTCAAAACTAAACTATTATAAACTGAAAGAAAAATAATAATTTTAAAGCCAGCCCTTATCATTCATATAATTATCAAGCTTTCTCTTAGACTCACTTAAATTTACTGGCTCAACAACATCCAAGGGCAACCCATTCCTGAGGCCAATCACCCTGTTAGAAAAATAAAACTTATCTTAGCTGAAGATGACTCAAACCTTGCCAAAATTTATACTTGTGTCCCCTTGTCCTACTATTCTCACTTTCAAGTATGAAAAAAGAGCATTTTTCAAGAGAAAAAAGTTTCAAACATATTAATCTATTGTCATATAATACACACTTCATCCCAGGCACCATTCTAGTAACCATTCCAACAATTCAAAGTCCTTCCTAAGGTAAAGAGCCAAATACTGAACATAATACTTCAAATGTGACCTAACCAGTGACCTATTCAATGAAATTATAAGTTCTTTAGACTTGTATTCAATATTTCTGTAGATACAACCAAAAATCCTACTTGCCATACCACTAGCAACAGCACACTGCTTTGATGGCTTATTAGACTGATCAACCATTACACCAAGATCCCTTTCTTTTGTGACACTGTTAAAGTTATTCCCATCCAAGTTATACTTATTATTCAAATTCTGAGAACTCACATGCATTATCTTGCATTTATTATAATTAAAACTCATGTGTCATTTATTTGCCCAACTCACTAAATGATCTAAATCCTTTTGTAAAGCAGCAGCATCCTCTTCATATTTTGCAACACCCAAGACCTAAATTTAAGTAATTTACTGACCATTCCTTTGTCTATGTCATTGATGTAAATAAAAAAAGAGCAAAAGTCTTAAGACTGAGCCCTAAGATAACCCACTTGCAACATTAATCTAATTTGACTGAACTCCATTTATAACAACCTTCTGCTTTCTTCCATCCAACCACTGTTCTATCCAATTAGCTAATTTATCCCCCACACTTATAGAGATAATTTTTACAAGCCTTTTATGAGTCAGAGGCTTCCTGAAAATACAGATACACCAAATTTACACCATTACCCTCATCTACATAAGCAGTAACCTTTTCAAAGAATGTCAAAAGATTTGTAAGACAAGATTTTCCCTTAGTGAAACCATGTTGACTATCCAATAAAAACTTTGTTAAATGACTTTGCAAAGCAGCTTTTATCAAAGTTTCCAAAAACTTTCTGACAACTGTTTGTTTGTTTGTTTGAAGTTAAGCACAAAGCAACACAATGGGCTATCTGTGCTCTGCCCACCACGAGTATCAAAACCCGGATTCTAGTGTTGTAAGTCCACAGACATACCACTGTGCCACTGGGGGGCTTCCGACAACTGATGTAAGACTAGCAGGCCTATAATTAATGGGACAATTTTTGTTACCTCCGTTGAAAAGAGGAGTAACATTAGCTAACTTCCAATCCTTTGGCACCCACTAATATACTTACCCAACACCTTGTGATTTACTGATCCTATACACAGATGCCATTGTATTTACTAAATGATGTTTTATCACAAGAATTGCATGAAATAGGCTTAGCTTCAAGGGTTCATGTTTTGCAACTCAAGTAGACTAAGCTTAAAATTGTGTGTTGTAACTGCTATCTGTTACTGATATCCAGACTACTGATTAATGTTTCTACAAACATTCAATGTTACTATATCTGGTGCATTTGTTAAATTGAATATATTCCACACATACATAGTACAATCAATCTCAAGTTCAAAATGTCAGACAGTGCTACACTGATCAGTACCCCCCAAAAAAATACAACAGCATAAAACAACAGGGCGTATCTCAATACAT